CTGTGGGTGTGTGTGGGGCTGTGGGTGTGTGTGGGGCTGTGGGTGTGATTTAGGACAAGATGAAACCACACCCACACCCACGTCCATATCCACATTCACCCACATCCACACCCACACTCAAAATGATGATAATCATAGTGAAACTGAGAGATGTTACACTTTCAAATTAGAAAGGAGGGAAATTTTTAAGTCAACACAAAATATTTAATAAAATTTTGCTTATTGACTTTCACCAGACAATACGATCTCTAAGTCAAGGGGGAAACAGCGGACTTCAAGACTTCAAAAGACTTCAACCGCAGTGACTTCATATTTTCACAAGACTTCAAAAGACTTCGAAAGACTTCTGAAGACTTCATAGAACTCCAAATGACTTCACAAGACTTCAGAAGACTTCGTATGACTTCATGGGACTTCAAAAGACTTCGTTAGACTTCACAGACTTCACGGACTTCATGATGCCTCACGGACTTCATGAGACTTCAGTGACTTGGTAGGACTTCTTGAGACTTTATAAGACTTCAAGAGACTTCATAAGACTTCATAAGACTTCATAAAGCTTCACAAGACTTCATAAAACTTCACAAGACTTCACAAGGCTTCACAAAACTTCACAAAACTTCACAAGACTTCGCAAGACTTCACAGGACTTCAAGATGTCGATTCTATACGTATCAAAAAACCTTATAGAAATTACATGAAACCTGTATAACATACAAAAAACAAAACTTATCATATAAAGATTACAAAAGTGTTTCTTGTTTCTGAGAACTGTTTCTCGTAGTATATTCATATCTAGAATAAAGATGTGACAATGACACAAAGCGTTGATGAAATTAAAACAGAGAAAGTAAACTTTACTGGTATGCGTATATTTGATTCGATTAATCCAGCATTGAAAACCTCCTATTTCCAGGTGCAAATAAATAACAAGACTAAATTTACACACAAGCAAACGACTTGTTGGTTATTGATCGACAAAGCTAGCCGTTTACCGGCTGATAGATTATCACGAGTGATAGAAATAAACAGAAAGGAATAAAATTCTTCATCAGATTGACATCGAATAGATGGATCATTTCTTATAAAAATAAACCACTTCATTCAAAAAGCATTCAGTTATTAACTATCATGTTTTCTAAGATCCAACAAACTTGAATTTTTTTCCAGCACTTTGACAAACAAACAAAAAGTTCACCTTTCTGCTAAAATAAGACTGACGAAAACAAGCCAATTTCATTGCTTTCTTATGAATTTTCATGCACTAAATGTACAAGGGGGAACCAGCAGAGACTTCAGCCGTGAAGTCTCATGAAGTCTTGTAAGTCTTTTGAAGTCTTCTGAAGTCTCTTGAAGTCTTTTGAAGTCTTATGAATTATCATAAAGTCTCATAAAGTCTCTGAAGTCTTTGAAGTCTCTTGAAATCTCATGAAGTCTCATGAAGTCTCATGAAGTCTCTTGAAGTCACTGGAAGTCTCTTGAAGTCTCTTGAAGTCTCTTGAAGTCTCATGAAATCTAATGAAGTCTCATGAATTCTTTTGAAAGTTTTGAAATACATTTAGTGCATGAAAACTCATAAGAAACCAATGAAATTGTCTTGTTTTCGACGATTTTATTTTAGCAGAAAGGTGAACTATTTATTGTTTTTTTTTCAATGTGCTGGAAAAAATTCAAGCTTGTTTGGTCTTAGTAAACCTAATAGTTAATAACTGAATCTTTTTGAATGAAGTGTTTTATTTTTATAAGAAATGTTTTATCTATCCAAATCAATCTGATGAAGAATTTTAATCCTTTTTGTTTGTTTCTATCACTCGTGATAATCTATCAGCCGATAAACGGCTAGCTTTGTCAGTTAATAACCAACAAGCCGTTTGCTTGTGTATAAATTTAGTCTTGTTATTTATTTGCACTTGAAAATAGGAGTTTTTCATTGCTGGATTGATCGAATCAAATATACGCATACCAGTAAAATTTATTTTCTCAGTTTTAATTTCATCAACACTTTGTGTCGTTGCCGCATCTTTATCTTCTTCATCCACATTGATTAGATCACTATTAAATTCATTACTTTCCATTGTTTCATCATCATAATCAGATTCAGAATCTGATGAAGAATCTGCATCCGTTGCCGAATAAGTATCCGAATTAATGTTGAATCTAATACTATCAAATATATTTTTACTTAAACTATTAAGTTCACAAGCATTGCATTTCTTTAATGAAGGTAATATATTCAAATTACTAACTAGTTCTTTTGCACGATTAAATGCAGCTAAAATAATATTTTCACCATTATTTAATCCTCGTTGCTAAGGGCTGTAATGGGGGAGGGGGGGTAGGGGGTATGTCTGTAATGTTCTCTTTCTCCGTTGCTAAGTGTCTATAATGGGGTGGGGGGAGAGAGAGCCATCAAACCTCGAACTGAAAACGTACATTCACTATTTTCTTCGAAAATATACGTGAGTTCCACAAAACAGACTTTTGGGAGCAATCAATTTTCAATATCATTCCTGTTCGTGGTTCTCGGAAAACACTAGTTACTCTGTTATGAATAAGGGTGTCAATTTATATTTACTTTCCATTTAATTTACGCGTAAATTAAATGATAAATAATTTATATTTATTATAAAGTAAACGGTAAATGACACCCCTACTATTTGATAAGTTTTGTTTTTTTGCATGTTATAGAGGTTTCATGTAATTTCTATAAGATTTTTTGATACGCATGGAATCTGCCTCTTGAAGTCCTATGAAGTCTTGTGAAGTCTGGTGAAGTCTTGTGAAGTTTTGTGAAGTCTTGTGAAGTCTTGTGAAGTTTTATAAAGTCTTGTGAAGTCTTATGAAGTCTGATGAAGTCTTATAAAGTCTCAAGAAGTCCTACAAAGTCTCTGAAGTCTCATGAAATCCGTGAAGTCTCATGAAGTCCCTGAAGTCTCACGAAGTCTGTGAAGTCTAACGAAGTCTTTCAAAGTTTTTTGAAGTCCCATGAAGTCCCATGAAGTCATACGAAGTCTTATGAAGTCTTGCGAAGTCATTTGAAGTCCTATGAAGTTTTCAGAAGTCTTTCGAAGTCTTGTGAAAAGATGAAGTCACAGCGAGTGAAGTCTGTTGAAGTCTTTTGAAGTCTTGAAGTCTTGAAGTCCGCTCTTTCCCCCTTGTAAATGTATTTCAAAACTTCCAGAAAAATTCATGAGACTTCATTAGACTTCAAGAGACTTCATGAGACTTCATTAGACTTCATGAGATTTCATGAGACTTCATTAGACTTCAAGAGACTTCAAGAGACTTCATGAGACTTCATGAGACTTCAGAAGACTTCAGAAGACTTCAGAAGACTTTATGAGACTTCAGAGACTTCAAGAGACTTTATGAGAATTCATGAGAATTCATAAGACTTCAAAGAGACTTCAGAAGACTTCAAAAGACTTTCAAGAATTCATGAGAATTCATAAGACTTCAAAGAGACTTCAGAAGACTTCAAAAGACTTTCAAAACTTCATGGGACTTCACGACTGAAGTCTCTGCTGTTTCCCCCTTGCTCTAAGTTTAATTTAATGGCATACATATCTCTCTAATTATATTATATTGTGTACATATCTTTAAATAACATAAAATTTGACGCTCTCTATTTTTTGTTCATTGGTATCCATTGTCATTAGCAATAAATATTTGGTACATTACGGAAAAGTGAAATAATTGATTTTTTTCTTATCTGTCTTTTGTTCTTGTAGTAAGATTTACTTTTAAAGTCATACATTAAAAGTGCTAAGGAGACTATCGATTTTAAAAGTTTTTCTTATTACAAATCAAAATATTTTTTAATTATGCTTTGCTCATGATGAATTTTTTAGATCGTCAATTTTATCGTACAGAATCGTGGATGACTTCGATCTTGATCTCATTGATGAAGTTTGTTCATCTTTTTGTACACCATGTACAAGTCAAATTACAAAAAGTATAAATGAATCATTATTATTATCAATTCGTAAACGTACATCAACATTGTGTCCTCTTGATAGTTCTAAAATTAAGAAAAAGTGTTTATTGATGGATGTATCCAACAGATCAATTGTTGATGAATATGATGAAATCAGTACACTTGACGAATCAGCTCTTCAAATGCTTGTAACATCATAAAACATAATTATTTTAATTTTATGATAGATTTCTTTGATTTTTGTTAAAATTTTTTTAGTGTGAAGAATGGAAACCGAAATCACAATTTCCAACTTTACTGACTCAAGTTGCTGGTCTACTTGAAAAATATCGAAACATTCAATCATTTCATAGTAAGACAATTTCGAAACTATGAGTTTTATAAATTATTAATCGACTCTATATAGCTTGGCAGAAGAAATGTTTCGATTTACCAACTCGTCGAAAAAATCAAAATCTTATTTATAAACTTCCAACAAGTGGTGGCAAAGTTTGGTCAAATGTGTAGCTTTTTCTTTTATATCGAATACATCAAATTTTTCTTTTAGACATTAGTTGCTGAAATAATGATGCTTAATTATTTACTTTATCGACATCTTGATGTTATTTTTATTTTACCATTTGTTGCAGTTGTTCAAGAGAAAGTAATATTGTTTTTTTTATTGTCATTATGTATTATTTTTACTATGAACATCTTAGGTTTGAAGTCTTCAACCATTTTCTGATAAACTTGGTAAATCAGAAATACAACAAATAAAAGATTCATCGTATTCATTAAATATACATATTTCTATTAGGTTTTCATCTTGGAGAATAAGCAGCAAGTAAAGGATGTTATCCACCAATACAACGTCGAATGAAAACATCACTTTATATTGGTACAATTGAAAAAGCTAATTCATTAATTAATCCTTTAATTGAAAATCATCATATGGCTGACTTAGACATTGTTGTTGTTGATGAGGTACACTCTTAAATTCCAGTCAAGAATGCATATCAATGAAATATTTGTACAGGTGTGGGTGTGGATCACACTCTGTTCTGCATGCACATTCACAAACACACCAACACACCCATGCTATCAGACTTCGGATTTTTGCAAAATTGTAGGCATCATATCTCTTGTAATCCTAGGATGGGGGGAGCTGATATTTTAATCACTGATAGTATTCATTGAGCCTTTCTCAAGAAAAGTTTTGGAGAAATTCTGACGTGTAGTTATGGAGAAAATCAAGGTCCAACATGAGGTATTCAGAGACCCCCGGACCCTTGATATCTACATATCTCCAATTTAGAATACTTTTGAGAGATCAGGTATGATTCCTTTAACTGATCACAGTATTTGCTTCATATTGGATCTAATGTGTAGAAATTTCCAGTTTACTATATGGATTTTATCTATTTTTTCAAACATTCCCAAACTATGAGTTGTAGGAATATAGCTCTGAAAATTATTGTGTAGAGACAACTTTTTATGCTCTATCCAATGATTAAATCAAAACAGGAGGACAGAATTTCGGCCCGGTCCCAAGGTCCGGCGGCGTTTCGGCCCGGGCCGAAATATCACCGGAAATCCGGTCCAGGACGAAATTCCTCTCACTGCTGTTCATAAAAAAGTTCAACTTCAATGAATAGTTAGCGCATTTCGTAGTGTTGAGCAGTACAACGTAGTGCTGAGTAGTACGACGTAGTGCTGAGTAGTACGTCGTACACTCAAAAGAAACAAGTTATTCTCGGAAACCGGCGAGAAAATGGTTTCGAGGGCTCGGAAACCCATTTTTATGCTCTCGGAAATCCTTAAAAGGTTTCCTATAGTGACACACTCGGAAACCTTTTGCCACCGGTTTCCAAGAATACCTTGTTTTTTAGAGTGTACGACGCACTACTCAGCACTCCATCGTACTGCTCAGCACTACGACGTACTGCTCAGCACTACGACGTACTGCTCAGCACTACATCGTACTGCTCAGCACTACGACGTACTGCTCAGCACTACGAAGTGTACCAAATAGTTATAGAAATATGGCTTCTTTTAAGGGATTGACAAGGTGAATTTGGGCCTGGGCCGAAAGTTATGAAGGACTTTCGGCCCAGGCCGAAAAATCACCGGACAGTCGGACCGGGCCGAAAGTCCGGGCCGAAAATTCCTTGGGCCGAAATTCATGTAAACCATCAAAACTTCCAAAGAGCGTTGCTGAAAAATAAAACAGACCTATTCAGGGGAGCCAATGTTAGACAAAATCGACTTTTGAGCCTGTCATACTGAAGTTAGCGCATTATTTGAATCAAAACACAGTATCAACTCCTAGATAACTTGATGAAGGCTACAAAACTAGCATACTTAAATGTTGCCGGCAAAAAGTCGATGTAAAAGTGGACGGATCTGCGTGGAAGTACCCATTGTTTATTAAATTTATAATTGTATTAATACTCACAATACAGTTGAATATAAAATTCTATATGATGAAATAATAACTTTTTTCTCTGTTAGAACGTCTTTCAAAAATTGAAAGATAACAACAAGAACATCAGTAGAACAGGAAACAAACAGATGGAATATAAACAACTAGCATTGTTCATCGTTGTTGTGAATGTTCCTATTGTTGAACTAATCGATGTGAACGTAGACGGTGTCGTCATATTTTCAATCGTACGGAAAATACTAGTAAGATAGACAATAGAACCAGCAGTAGCATAGGGATTTGGATTAAGTTTAAGAATGTGACAGGCAATATGATAAATATCTACATTATTAAGTGAATGAATTGACACATTTTTATTGAAAGAAGGACCGCGAGCCATAAATATGGCTTGCATAGTTGCTAATGTATTATCCCATCCATGGTTACCTTTTTTGTTGTAAACTTTATTTGTTGTCGCCTAAATATTAATTGAAAATAATATTCGATTAAGTTAATTAAAAAATTTACTCGAGATAGAATTTGACCTTCAAAATTTGGTAATACAGTTATTTCCCCAAGTCGATGTCCTGGTTTTGAATAATGAAAACGTTCAGGAATTTCATCACGTCTATATACTGTTACATTAGGTAAGTTACTAAGATTATTGTAAACTTTTCTAGTCTGTTATTGTTGAATAATTAATTGATAATAGATATATTGTTAAAATGATGTAGATATGCTTACTAGTCCACGTTTTGGCATTACATTGAATAATGCACCAGAAAGAAGATTTGTTTCAACGGATGTTGGGCTAAGATATTTTTCGAAAAATGGTCGTATTACTCCTGTTACATTGGTCATGCCCTTAAAATCTTGAAATGAATTCGAATTGCTGAATTTTTTCGAAAAATATGTGAAATTATGATGTTTCTAAATTATCTTTTACATACATGATCAGAGAGTATAATAATATTTAAATCATCATTGAGTTCTTTCTTTGTTTTATCCAATAAATATTCTATATCAATATCAAGACGAAGTAACTAATTAGAGAAGAAAAAATCTAAATATATCTATTTTCAGTAAGTTTCTACTTACTGTATCGTGTACTTCTTGGGAATCTGGGCCATATGTATGTCCTTGCTTATCTGGTTCACTTAAAGAGAAAATAATTATTTTCAACAGAATAAAATTTATTTATGAACTATACAAATGGTATAGCATAACGAATTGAACTGATAATTCACGAAAGTAACCTATAGCATTGTCGATTTTTTCACGAAAAGATACATCATCAGTGTACAACCAACTATAGATAAGTGGACGTACGCCATAAAACTCATTATGACATGCTGGCCAGAAAAGAACTGCAGATTTTATTTTCTAAACATTGTAATGCGAAATTCATCGATATCTATGTTAATCTTAAATAAATACTTGTTTGGTTGCAGTAATCCATATAGGTTCTACTTTTGGATCAGACCATTGCCCATCATCACGATTATCTAAAAAGTAAAAGATGAATTAACATTATTTTATATTAGATCAAACAAGTGGAATATATATATATATACTCATTCCAATAGTTAATTTTAATAATCGATCGTAGAATGAATTATGCACAATGCCATGTTCTTCTGGATACATTCCTAAATTTCATACATGAGAGATACTATTAAATAACTCATGTGCATATATCTACTGATAAACCTGTTGCGATAGAAATATGATTAGGATACGTCAATGTAGTAAATGAAGGTCGCATTCCATGTGTTGCTCGAACACCATCATTACGAAATCGATTCAATGCAGGTAAATAGTGTTCATGTAAATAATCATGACGAAATCCTTCGAAATAAGCTATTTTAAACTGTAATCAAATCCTTTTCTTTTATATCCTACCATCAAGTGAAATAATGAGTAGACGTTGACTTTCAGATGATTGTTTCATAGCATCAGTATATTTAAATAACGCTATTTGAAAGACATAAACTATCAACATGGTGTACAGAAAGTGCATTGTAGTCATAAAGACAAAGCCGATTAGTTTGTGAACAATATAAATATCAAAACTAAGAATGTTAAAAAAAAGAATAATTACCTCACGTCTCTAATTCTTTCAATTTTAGATTTTTTATTCTTGAAATAGTATATGTTATATATTAGATAAGATTATAAATATGCCGTGAAGACATTTGAAAGAGGTATGAGATTGTACATTTCTTTTTTCTTTGTGTTATTAAAGGTTAGTCTTACACTGAACCGAGCATATTCACTATACACTGTCATATGAAAAATTTTCATATATCTTCTTCATCATTGGAAATAAAAGATTCTACAAAAAAGAACCTTTGAATCCAAAAGTTTAACTGTCTTAGCTAAGAAAGTTAACATTTTGTATTCATAATTTTGTTTACATGATCTGTCATTTTTAATGATGAAAAATATATATGAGAATTTTTCGTATGACAGTCTCTAGTAAATATGCTCGATTCAGTCATGGACTAACCTTTAAGAACATAAAGAAAAAAGAAATGTTTCATCTTATACCTCTCCCAAAACTGTTCACAGCATATTTACAATCTCATTCATCTAATTTTTAATATATACTATTTCAAGAATAAAAAATCTAAAATTGAAAGAATTGCTTGTTTGAGGTTTATTTAACCCTCTATCCATAATAGAGCTTAAAAAGATATGGTGCTGATTACACCTGCATGAAGAATGAAAAGCAATTAAATCAACGCACGAACACAAAGCACATAAAACTATAAGCAAAGACAGCATGAGTCATGTACGACAGCTTCCAGAATCAAAACAGATTGGTATGTCAGCAGAATGTATAGACCATCGATGAACAAGTAGCTTAATACGTCATGAACAGAACTAACTTATATAAATATGGTGCTGTGAGAGGAAAGGCTTGAATATTATTGTAACGTTCTTAATCGATTAATTCTCTGAAATTATCCAAGGTTAAGTGACGTTTATCTGGACGGTTCATATAAGTTGTTCGACCTTCATCTGACATGTGTTATCACCATATCTGCTGTCCTTGCTTAAATCATAACTGTGTATACTTTTAACTAGTTTATTGCGAGCTGTGACGCTGCCGTCACATTTGTCTTAACTCACACTTACTCACCTTATCTTCCTCATAACATGACCTTCCTTTTTTTCAAGGTATCTTCCAGTCCTCTTGATATGTGTTCTCTTCTTCTTAAGACTTCTTTCTTTTCTCCCCATGTTCTTTTTCATCTGTATATAGCTTACTCCCTTGGCTTGTTCCGTCTTATCTTTGGACACTGACTCTGTGTGTTATATATAGATAAACATGTGCTATGTATGTGAAATTTTCAATTCATGATATAAATAGCGTTATAGATAGATATATATACTGATGCTATAAATCAATCATAACAAAGGCCATGTCTACTCATTATTTTACTTGACGGTGGGATATAAAGAAAAGGATTTGATTGTAATTTAAAAGTAACTAGGTCACATCTCGAATTTCTTCAATTGTAGATTTTGTATCCTTGCAATAGTGCTTATTAAGAATGAGATGAATAAAATTGTAAATATGCCATGAAGACACTTGGAAGAGGTATAAGATGAAACATTTCTTTTTTCTTTATGTTTTTAAAGGTCAGTCTATGTCTGAATCGAGCATATTTACTAGAAACTGTCATATGTAAAATTTTGATATACCGTTTTATCATTGAAAATAAAAGACTATATAAAAAAAATAATACGCATCCAAACTTTTAGCTTTCTCAGAATGAGCATTGAATAATTATGAAGGATATATTTGAGATGTGTTAGTAAAGATCCATTTCATTTCTTTTCGTTTCTTCCTATTCTTAGTATATAATTAGTGTATATTACTACTTTCTTCAATTGCTTGTTGAACAGGACGTTTCGGGTTCAATATTAATGTGTGCTAAAACACAACGATGTATTAATCTTGGAATATTTTTATGAGTCTCTCAAAAAACCATATTGAACAACATGTGGGCCGACAATAATTTTCTATGGATTCAATAAAACGAAGAAAGCTCTAATAGAATGCATTCAAAAGAAAGCAATCTAAAAGTATGCATATAGTTAGTACTTGAAACTAGCCAAGAAGATAAAGAAATGGCACCTAAAAGCAGCATATTTCCTAATGATGTTGAAACACAAGAGTTCAAATTATAAAATCATTAAAATTCTATTTCATAGTGAACAGTTAACTCATTAAATACATATTAAATATACTAAAACTACTTCTCTGGCAGTATGTTTTGAGGGAAACTATCGTTATAATATAAATTGCTTAATGATGAATCGTAAATTTCCAGCGTTATATTTTTATATTCTGAGTAAGTTTTCAATGTTGATTGAAGTCTTCTTTATGAATTTTCGCCGTTTTTCCTCCTTTCGAGGATTTATCTAAAGCGACTTGATGCAAAATAATGGAATTTTTAAGACAGACAGATCTCAACGAATAGAACTAAAGTTTTTACAGATTCAAAATTTTTAGACCCTTCGTTCATAGGACACAGGGTGGCAAAGAACGAAAATGGTCAAAAGACTCCTGCGTTCGCAAAACATTATGTCACATCTGTTCGAACTATAATTGTTTTAATGGCAAAAAAACGGTCAAATCCGAGTGTAATTTTTTTTTTGCTTTCAAAAATGTCATTCCTAGTACTCAGCGTAAGGGAAATAATGAAAGCCCTAACGAAAAAAGTGCTTTTTCTGATGGTACGAAATTTCTTAAGGCTTTCGAATTTTGTAGAGACATTTTGAAAAAGACAATAACGCTGGCACTTTCAGTTCAATGAGTTACTCATAAAGAAATTCGTGTCCGATCAAACACGCTCTGCGAAAGAATAAGGAAAAAAATCCGCTTTGTTTTTGTTCAAATATTGATTTTGAGAAAAGCATAAAACAAATTGTTCAGTGAGTATTTGAACTTTTTCCTTTTGGCTAGATTGGTCGAAAAGTAGTTGATTTCATTAGTGTCAGGCATCCATCAGTCATTCTCTAAGAAACTTTGCAATAAGAAACAGTCATCATCATTAGGAGAAGCGTATGAGTATGTCATTTGATTTTCCAGTAAATATCTTCAGTTGGCATTTTCAAGTCTAATATTCGAGGTTCATTTATTTAAATACATAATGAAGTAAAATTGTATATACAGCTAAATGTATTCATGATGGTGAAATATCTTGTTTTATTTTATTATTATTTATTTTTTGTTTTTTAGTAATCGTGATATTTCGACATTCATTTTCTCGAACGTTATATCAGATTAAAGATGACAAAAAAGACAAAAAAGTTTTTAACCTAAAGCTAACGTATTTATTTGTTTTATTTTATTTTTTAAGCGTTCCTACTGAATGCTAAGAGTTTAGATGATTTTAATTGTTTTCGTAACTCAATCAATACTTCCTATTTTAATAGGTCTTTATCATTGACACCATATCCACAATATCCCATGTAAGCAAAAGAGCGACAAAAAATCTGATTTTAATCGATTAAAATCGATTGTTCGACTGAAATCGATTTTAATTTTAAATACGGCACTATGGCTTACACGAGTGCGTATGAATCGATGTCAGATGTGGAATGTATCCAGGGTAGGGCTGGGACTATACTTACCCATTGTTGACGCGAGAAGTGAAAACAAAATAATTAAAAATTGAAGTTTCTGAGTGAAAACAGGAGAAAAACGCATTTTGTAATCACAGAAATTAAAAATGATTAACAATCAAATAATCGATTAAAATTTATTAAAAATCAAGAAATTGAATAAAAATCTGATAAAAATCGTGCCATTTTAATCGATTATTAATCGAAAAAAATTGATTAAAATCAGATGTTTTATCTTCTTTTTTTATATGGACTGATGTTAACACATTCATAACTTAATATTGATTTTGATGCATGACTTAATGTTAATTTCAAACCATAACCTAATGTATATATGAAACTATAATCTGATATTCATTTTGATATATGAGTTGATGTTGATCTTTAACACATAACCATAATTTCAACGTGAACTAATATATAATTGTTAATAATTATATTTTGATGTAAGGATAACATTAGAACCGAATTTGAAGGTGTGGGTGCGGGTGTAGGGTGTGAGTATGAGTGGGCTTAAGAACACCCACACCCACACCCTCACCTATAGTCATGCCCACACCCAAAATTGAATTCTGATTCCGAAACACTGATACCGATTCGATCCCGTTTTTAAAACATCAGCCTACATCCTGACATCTATCCAAAAAAAAAAGACTTAGAATTTTTGTATCTGTATCCTATTGAAACTTAGTCTTAAATTTTTCGATTGTTGACAGTGCAGTATGTTATTTGAAACAATCGTATCGCACATCGAACCATTAGCCGTCTCTAGCTTTCACATTTTACTAGAACCAAACTCGGAAGAAAATCGATTCTATTATACACTAAGTGCCATTTCAAAGCTCTTGACACTTCGTTCTCAATATTGTCACTCAAGATAGATTTTTCTAATGCTATGTTCAGTTGAAAACAAGATATTAGAGATAATATTTCCAAATCCAAAGAGCATTAGCGGAGCGGCTAATATTCATGGGCACATTGGGCATAGAATACAGTACTCTAAATCTTCGATACCAGAGAAACAGACATCATTGATATTATAAAAACAAATATTCTGTATAACAACTAAAGTACTTTTGAATTGAAATAATGTATAGATGATCATCGAATGATTCTACCTAATGAATATAAGATTAGTTTGATTTTAAGTCCATCAGAATCAGAATCGATTATGTCTTCTCAACCAGTATTGAATCCTCTAACTAGAACTAATATATATATATATACTTTCTCATCGAAAAGTTCGACAAAATCAACAACCACTTTATCATCGAAACATAACAGAGGAAAACGTTATGAATATCGATTCAA